AAGTAAGAGATGTTATGATAGGTTTGTAATAATCTATTTTTTGATTTTTGTATAATTTATTTAGTTATTGGTATTAATATACTTTTTGTTTTTGAAAGTGCATTTTTTGGTTACATAATTTGTTAAAAAGTAAATTTTGCATGATCGTATATTTGTAAGCTTTCAATACAATTGGTTATTTCTGAGTTTGAAGTTTTTTGTTATAGTAACTACCATATTTAATTCATTTTTGAAGATAATAATTATAATGTATTAGTAATTATATTGAATTGGTGATCATAAAATATAACAAGATTTGTCTTTGATAGATTGGATGAAGTCTTTGAATTTGAATGCTGTTGTTTTATATAAAAGATTAATGAGTTTTACTGTGAATATAGCTTTTTGTTCTATAATAGATAGTTGATTAAGTAATAGAAGGATTCTGATACAGTTAGTATTGAGCAAAGTTAATCATTCATTAATTACTTGTATTACTTATTCTTGATTTTCATATTGAACTGTGATATAGAGTCACTTGATGATAATATGTTATTTAATTTTGATAATATTATCAAATTTTGAAAGGGCTACATTGATCTAGTTCTTTTATAGTTCTGATTAGTACATTATATAATATGATAGTTATTGATGGATTAGTTATTTTTGGAGGAATAGAACATATGTTAGTAATATGAATGCTATTAATTTTGATATCCAATACATTATTTAAAGCTTTCAAGAATGAGAACTCTAAGTGTATGTATTTTGTATTTTCATGATCACAGAATTTGATTTGATAAATTTAGATAAGTGAAAAAATTGTTAATTAATGTATTGAATATTTGATTTGATATCTTTTTCTGGAAGTACTTGTTTAAAAATTCAAGTTTTGTGTCTTTTTGTATTAAATTGTATTCAAATATGTATTAATACAAAAAAATATACTAAATATTAATATTTTAAAAATATAAAGTTTTGCTTATATATTGTTATTATTTTATATAATTATAATAATAATTAAAAAATAATAATAAAAACTTCTTTTCACATCTTTTTTTTGACTGGGCAGAGCCACACCTCTTCAAGAGTGAAAATCTTTACAAATTATTCAAAAAAAGAAATCACTTCCATTTTTATAGCACCAGCAACTAACAAATAATCTATAATTTCTCATTACATATTTCTTTAATTTTCTTTTTCTTTTTTCATATATATTTTTATCAAAAACTTAAAAAATACAAAAAAAAATAAAAATAAATATAAATCTATATTCTATAATAATTTTTTAATTTATTTTAATATAACTAACTTTCTTCTTTTCTTTTGTTTCCTTTTACTAATTAAAATTCAAAATATTCAAGACTAACAAAAAAATTAATTTTACTAATTCTCCAACTTCAGCTTTAAATCGTATTACAGATTTTTTAGATTTCTCTTCATCAGATGAAAATATTACATCACAAATTCCTGTTCAAGAAACTGTTAAAAAAACAGACACACTTTCCAAAGTAACAAATATATGAAAAAATCATATACTTGATCAAGCAAACTTCTCATTCATACTCACACCAAAAAACTCAAGTCTTCATATATAACTGAAATAAATACAGATAACAAAGATACACACTCATGCATCACCAATGAAAATCAACACAATCCAATAAAAACATCTTCACAAGTAGCAATGGATCAATAATTCAATATAGAAATTGATACAACACCTAAGCATCATACAGAATCAACTTTCATGTTACATGATAACAACTCAAAAATACACATTGAATCATTCATATCATTTCAAGTCAACCATAATCAAAATAATTCAACTGATCAAACCAACCAACATGTTTACTTTTGTGATATCATTATTTTTATATTTTTACTTGAAAATAATTAGATTATATAAAATTCATAACAAAATATATATTGCATACTGTGCCACAAAAATTCTATGAAAATTTTTAAAGAGATTTTGTATAAATTATCAAAAAGTGAATAATTGAAATTTCTGCAAAGATAAATATTATATCATTTACAAAGCATAATTTATTTTAAGAAACTTTTGCAAAATTGCAGTGAGATTTAGCCAAAAGTTCTTTCAAACTTGAAATAATTATAGCAAGTAATATAGTATAGATCAACATGAACATTACTTTCGAACGAACTGTATATGTAAGATTTTGAAAGTACATATACTAATATGCCCCTTTGAATTCCTGATATTAGATCACGTGTATAGTGCGTAAGCAAGAAAAACAATTTTTCACAAATATTAATTATTACTCTTTATTTGATGATTTTGATTAATAGAAAATAACATGTGAAATTGTATTTACACGCGAGCAAAGGAAAAAAAGAATAAAAAAATTGCTAGTAATAAGTGATGGTGATGTAAACGATTGATGCGAACAAAAGAAAAAATTAGTCAAATAAAAGGAGTAATCAAAATAAAAATAACACAGGGTAATATTTTTTATTTTTTTATTACAAGCAAGATTAGAGCTTTTTTAATAATAATGCTATGAACTAACGCTGCACCCAAAAAAGAGATTGGTATATAATTCGTTTATTAATCGGGATTGATAATGTTGTGTTGCGTTCATGCGTTATTATCGTAAACTTCGTATCCGTTTAGCTTCCTTGATTCTAATATGTGTAGTAATGATGAGATATAAATGATGAAATCGATATCAAGAAAGTACCATGAAAGATTACTTTACCTTTGGATTATCAGGACTATTCTTCCATCGCTCGGCGACCAACTTGAAAGCGGCTTTATGTTCGAGATTCGGATTCTCAGCTTTCACTTTTGGAAGTTCGGATTTCATGAAAGCATTATACGGAGATAATTTTCTTTTACCACCTTTTATATAATAGAGGGAAAGAAAAATTGTTGGTTTTCATGTTTTATATATGTACAGAGAAAGTCTTATATAGTATATAATAATATGGTATATAAGAATATGGTGTATATAATAATATGGTGTATATGTAAGATATATATGAACAGTCGCGCTCTAAATGAGCGAAAGAACCAATGTATCAAGTAGAGAAAAAAAGCGTGAAATAACGTGGAGGTTGGGTATTCGCTTGTGTTGAAAACAAAATATTCTTCTCAACTTAGAGGATGACACGTTGCTACATTATGACCATTTGAAATTCCCTATATAGTATATACATTCATATATGAAGGTATATATGTTATATATACACTATATAGCATTCAAACGAGTGGTTCAAGTGTTCCTCCTATCAGAGGTCACTGCGCGTTCATATAATAACGAAAACCAGCAAAAGAAAGAATTCAACATAAAAACCAGAAAAACTCACCAGTGGTGGCTTTCTTGGTAGGTTTTGTCTTGGGCATTGTGTAATTAGCGTCGAGTGAAAGCGGTTTTTTGTTAGATGAAGAAAGAAAAGTTGTTTATTTAGAGTGAAACCAAGAGAAAATATTGCGGCAGTGTTGGAAAAGTAGCAGTTGTCGTATATAGAGAATACGTATAGTTATGAACGTATGGTTCAGAGTAGTAGTATTATTAGTCTTATATAGGGATATTGGACTCAATCATTATCATCATATTATTACTGCCTGCCACTACTATTACTATTATTACTAGTAAGCATTATTATTATTATTATTATTATTATTATGATGGGTACACCGCTATAGCAACCATAACATCCATCCTATCCTTATCGATCACTATTAGTATAATATCTGATGAATAATTATTATCACTCTCATATCCTTTCCTTCTAATAGAATTATGGTGCAACAAAAAACTTGTGTTTGTGTATGTGTATGTGTGAGTGTGAGTGTGTGAGTATTATGTATATTACGTTGGTATGTATGTATAGTATTATATATAATATGAATTCATGTGACTCAATAATTATGATAATAAATAATTATTATTATTATACGACATGTTCCTTATCACCCTACCCTCGTTTTTTCTCTCGTCGTCGTTGTTGAAATTAACTCACTCAGCATCATCATGATCTTCAACATCATCAAAGTAACACCGAACAGACCTGCTAAGGCAAGATATATTGAGTATGTGTTTGCTTTAATGTGTTGTGCCCCTTATTACTACTAAACAATAATAATGGGACAAATAGATGAATTTTTTGATTGGACGACATCACTCATTATAATATTATAGAGTGGTTGTATTAAAAATAAATTCATATTTCTAATTGGTGCATGTTCTACTCCATGACTATTATGAATAATAATAATATCAATAATATTGTCATATTTATTATCTCACTATCATATATCTGTATACATACGTTACATATAATTATCCATTATTATTATCGATATTATTATTTATAATATATTAACGTTAAATAATAATAACGATAACTGATATCTACGAAATCCCAAAAAAATGACAAAATTTCGAAAACGACATACGTACATACGAACATACATATATTCATTCACACACATACACTCACTCATGTATCCTCTTTATTTTGTCCTGACAGTTATTTTGTTTCAAAGTTTGATGAATCTTTTAATTAAATTCTATTCATCCATTTGATAACCGTCCAAACCGTAGCAATGTTCAAATCACCGATAATCATTTATTTTAGTGCACAATATTCCTGAAATCTGCACATACTTGGTTTTATCTTAAAAAAGTTTTCATCAAAGAACCAAATAAAATCTATGCACATATTTTTTTTGAAAATGTGACGTGTAACAAAGCAAAATTTTCTCATCTGGTGAATTGGTGAATTAACGTACCGATTTCTTTTTTAGTGGAGATGATAATGATGGGCCACATGATTTATATAACATAGAATAGATGTTCTATTTTTAAATTTTGCATTGGTGGCATAAAAAAATTCTTGCTTATCGAGTGTTCGAGACCAAATTTCGGTTCTATAATATCAAATTTGTGCCAGCTTAATCAATCATTTAGAAGGAAAGGTAACTAAGTTAATTTGTGTATTTAAAAATACGATCGCGATTACTTCTCTTAGTACTCTTCTTGACATTGAATTTATTTAGATTCTGCTCCAGAAGAACTGATTTCTTCGTCAACATCATTGCTCCTATTTTGAGGTAGTTCCTCGTTTTTCTTTCTTTTTTTCTTTTTTCGCTTTCTTTTTCTCTCTTTAATAATGTGTTCGGTGCCATTTACTAATCCAATGCTCCCATTTGCATTGCTATCGATACTCTGTCCATCTTTGTTCTGTTCTATATATTCTTCTTTCTCGTCATTTTCACGTTTTCGTTTCTTATGAGACGAGAGAACAAGAGATTCTTTTAGTCAAGATACCCGGCAAGTCTAATGCAAAAAATGAAACAGGTTACATACCCTTGTTTCAGATGTATTTTTTGAGATTTCGATTATGTTTTTCGTGGCTATCTTTTGTGATGGTTTCTTTTTCGACTTTTTACAACTTAATGGGTTTGGTTGTTTTGGACCTTTATGTTTCTTTTTAGCTTTCGATTTTGCGCCAATTTTATTCTTTGCATCAGAATTTGTCATCTTTAAGAAATTCATTTCATCCGTTGATGGTAAAGTTTTCGCGATTTCAATCTATTTTATGTACCAAATAATTAAAATTGTAAAATTCAAATTTATTATTTTCACTATATATAGTCTTACTTGTTTCGCTTTTTCCAATGTGACATAAGAAGGTGGTTCAAATATTAATACTGTTCGATTAATATATAATAATGGGACCCCGGGAATTCCACGAAGTTTTTCGCGAAGCTTCCGATTTTGCGTGGCAACGCAATATCTATGCTCATTTTCATTGCCTTGAAGATATTTAAAATTAGAATGTGAGGAATCAATCAAACAAATTAATGGAATTCAAAACTTACCAATTATCGATGCGAGACATTCAGCGCTAGATACGGAAGAGCCAAGGTGTGAACACCCTCGTTTTTCCAATTGACTAAGGAACTGTAGGGCCCGTGAATGCTCTTTCTCGCCACTCTGACGCAACTCATTAATGGAACAAAGAGTGTACACTATCGAACGTAAGTCAAGGAAAGGGTATTGTAATACTCATGGAGAACAAATAATGATGGGCTTACTTTGCTTTATTGAACCTTGCATTACTTTAGAAAGTTGTGTTTCAAGGTTTATTTTATAACTGGTGGCTGTTGTCGCAAAGTTACCGTCCACTTTTTGAAGTTATGTTCAAACGGCATGATTTAGTTTCATCATTTATGGTACTTGGAATTTCACAGGTGAATAAAGACAGACAGTACGTAATATTTGGTAAGGTTCCCTAAACCCAAAGGAGGTCGAGTACAAAGCCATGAGGCGTTTATATTGCTTTGCACGTTTTTTTCGCATCGCGTTCTTGAAAAATTTCAAGCGAGAAGCAAAGGTTTCACTATGATCTACACTTTTGACGATCTGTGCATGCATTTATGTATACATAAAACCAACACAAACTTCACGCGCGTATATAATAAAGAACATTTTTTAATTTGTTTCATAATGGATACAGAGGAGGATAATTTTGATCTTTTTGATAAAGGCAAAGCACCAGAGTTTCAGACTGGAAATTACTCTAGTGATGAAGGTGGGCCTGGAGAAACTAAGGAAAGTATGGCACCAGCTCCTGTCACCTCAATTTTACCTCTTTCACGACGAGAAGAAGACCTTGCTAAAAAGGATCGTTCTTTAGCCGAATTTCTCTTAGTTGTCGATGATTTTGAACCTATTGCAAGTATATACTATCATTTGATGATGCTAATTTGTTTTCCGCAATCAAGTATGCAAACTTAATGGTACTCCATATTTTTATGAAATTTTTTCAATAGATTCCTGATGCTGTGACAGAATATTATTTAGCGAGATCAGGATTTGCTTGTGATGATATTCGCGTGTTTGTCTTCAATTCTCTTTAAATAATTTTTGATTTACATAACAAAGTATATTAATCTGGAATTTTTGAATTTAACGTGGATACATAGGAAGCGACTAATGGCTTTGGCCGCTCAAAAATTCATTTCAGATATTGCTACTGATGCATTCCAGTATTGTAAGATTCGTGCGCAAAGTAAAAAAGCGCTTGGAAAGGTATTACAAATTGATCATAATATCAGAAAGATAAAGAATGAAGGAATAATATCTAAATTAACTCTATCTTCTTTATCTCTATGTGAAAAGCGCAACAAAACTGTGTTAACTTTGGATGATCTCTCGGCCGCACTTTCTGAATATGGGATTAACATCAAAAAGCCAGATTATTATCGTGCATAACAATCTCTTGATGCTGACGACGACGAAGACGACGACGATCACAACAACGACGGATGACATCCGTATTGAAGGAACAACCACATCTTATTATTATTAACGTCAGTGGATGCTCTAAGAAAAAGTTCTGATTAAAATAAAATAAGAGCTCACTACCCTGGACTATATATATATCTTGATCGCAACAAATATAGAAGGATATATTGCACATATTATATACTGTTGCTTTTCGCTTCTGATTCTGGTTTCATGATTAATAATAATTAGATATCTTCAACCTTTAATTGACACTTTTATGCATAGATAGATATCCATAGATTGATATCCATATCGGTAAGATCATATCTTATTAATTAATATTTATAGAAAATCAGTGAAGAAAGAAATAAAGGTTTTCTTATCGATCGATATATGAATTATGATCGATTACTATTTTAGATTTAGATTTCTGGCATGGAAAGTATGAAGTTACAATATGAACCATTTTTAATATATATGAGGCTTGCCTCATTTTATAATCCTTGTATGGGTGGAAAATCATCTTAAATCAGTCCACTTATTACTTATTACCTTATACGTAGTTTGCTCTGTGCGACAAGCACGTATTGTAAGATGCAGGATTGGAGAATTTATTTGAGGTACAAGATGCAAATAAACATACACAGCCAATATTAATAATATTAATATTACAACATGAGTCATTGTCAAAATAAATTTGAACACTATTTTTAAGGAAAAATATTCGTGTAAAAAAACTAAGAAATGGCAGCAAAAGTTTTAACGACACCTTCACATCCTCAGAATATTTTCCACAATAAAACAAATACCAACAATAGCACTACTAATAGTGGTCATCACTTGGTTAACTCTGAAGAGGATATCCAAGATGATTTTTTAGAGGATTTACGTGTCATTGGATATGACCCGTTGATACAACCTCAATTACTTCAAATGGAAATTCCAATGGTAATAAAATTGAAGCTTTAATTTATAAGTGAGTCTCTCATTATAACGACATTCTTGGTTCCATTAGTAAAAAAAATACCGAGTAGGATTTTTATTTGTTTACTAATAATCGGTGATTGAGGGTAATGTTGTATTATGATGTCGTTATATCGAGGTCCACTTGTAAACTTGTTCCAGTTATCGGGCTCGTTTTTGATAAATTTTTTTCTCTAAAAAAAAATAGTCAGCGATTTCTCGTAAAGTTGTGTCACTTACACGCCAACAAATCGCAAAAATTCTTAAAGGATTAGATGATCGTCTCATAGTTATCGTTGGACCGTGTTCAATTCATAATGTCGAAGCGGCCAAAGATTATGGTAAACAATCAATAATCATCGAATCACTAATTTGATTCTAGAAACCATCATACCTGTATCAACTTAACCTTCATAGTCCATCATCTTTAATTGTTTCTTTTCATTTAGCTCTTCGCCTTAAATCTATCGCATCTCAATTGAAAGATGACTTATTAATCATAATGCGTTCCTATTTCGAAAAACCACGAACTACTGTCGGCTGGAAAGGATTAATTAATGATCCCTTTATCGACGGCTCTTTCCAGATCAATAAAGGTTTAAAAATCGCACGAAAACTTTTGTGTGATATTACAGAGTTTGGTGTGCCAGTCGGTTGTGAACTACTTGATACCATTTCACCTCAGGTAGAATATATAATTCATCTATCTTTCAAGAATTTCAAGAAAACTTTGCAGTAATATTATATTGTATTCACACCTCTTAATTTCCACAAGTATTTGGCTGATCTTATTTCTTGGGGCGCAATTGGTGCACGAACAACCGAAAGTCAATTGCACAGAGAATTAGCCTCCGGTGTATCTTTTCCGTACGTATTCTTGTAGCTTTCGTGTAAATTTAAAAATACATTTAATTTCGTAACATTATCAATGCTTTATCTACTAGTCTTGGATTCAAAAATGGAACCGACGGAAATGTTGGGATAGCAATAGATGCGATCAAATCCGCGTATAATCCACATCACTTTTTGGGTGTCACTAAACAAGGATTGGCTGCTATCACAAAGACTAAGGTGATTATCATTATGAATTTTTATGTAAATTTACGTTGATTTTAATTGGCTCTATATATATTATCAATTCTTAGGGAAACGAGCTCTGTCATGTAATTTTAAGGTTTGCACGATATCTTTTAAGTAATTTACACTATTCCCCCCCCCCTAATATTATACATACAATTACAATAAAATAATAGAGGTAGTAATTCTGGTCCAAACTATAAAAAACAATATATCGATGCTACCAAAGAATCATTACGAAAAGCAAAGTTGCCCGAGCTAATAATGATCGATTGCAGTCATGGCAACAGTAGTAAGAAGCACACCAATCAGCCGATTGTTAGTACTGACATAGTAAGTATTCACGAATCTATATTCATGATTTAATCCATTAATAGCTCGCACTAATATTATCTGCTATATAATTGATAAGGCAAGTCAAGTAGCTTCTGGAGATGATACAATCATTGGAGTAATGATCGAATCAAACATTGTAGAAGGTCGTCAAGATGTTCCTAAAGAAGGTCCTAGCGCTTTGAAGTATGGTCAATCTATCACCGATGCATGTGTTAGTTGGGAGGATACTGTACCAATGCTTGAGGGGTTGGCTAAGGCGGTTCGAGAAAGAAGAATTCTAAGGGCTAATAATAATTGACGTTAAAGTAGGTTTCGCGATATAATGGCCGAACAATTAGCAATAATATGATAAATAAAACTCGAAATTTTGGTAAATAGATTATCTTGAACGGAATAAAAGTGTATGGTGTTCAGAATAAATAAAAAGACAGTAGATCAATCATGCAATAAAAATAATAGTGGCATTTAATTGATATCAAGAACAAATGCACTTGTGAAAGGTTTATTAAATTAAAATCCAAGTTATAGTTATATAATGTTAATCACGTATTAGTAATGGAATTTACAATAGATCGAAATATTACATATTTCTTAATTTATACAATACTTCATAAGTTCAAAAGTTAATTCATGAAGTGACTTATTAATGTATATATCTCACTCAAAAAAGCTAAATTTACATTATATGATAATAATATTAAAACGTGACTTCATTTTCTAATTATGAGAATGAAATTCATAATTTTATATCTTTTTTAGAATCAAATAAATAATAAATTGCCATAGAAATTATATCAAAGAAAATTTTGAAATTCTTAATTGGATACAAGGTATTTCTTTTGTTTGAAAAATTTTAATTTAATTAATAATATTAAATAAAATATAAATTGTTTGCTTTTTTAAATTGATTAAAATATAGTGATTAACAAAATTATAGAATCATGCATGTAATTTTATTAATAAAATATAGAAAAATTGAAATTTTTGTCTTATATGTATAAAAGTTTTCAATTTATTAATAAATATTATTTTTATATCAAAGCAAAGATTATAAATTATAGTTTAACATACAAAATAAAATAGTATAAGATATTCAATTTTAATTGTCTTACAAAAAATATTATAATTTTTGAATAAATTATTGAATAAAAAATTTTTTTCAAATTGATAGTTTTTAAATAAAACTATATTTTTGAAAGAGAAATTTTTTTGATTTTTATTTTTAATAAAGTTAAAATGGTTTGAATATTATTTACTTTATATATAAATTAAAAATTTGGTACATGTTTATACAAAGTCTTATAATTTTTTAATCAAAAATTAAAATAAAAAAATTTTCTTATAAATTAATAACTTTTTAGTAAAGTTACAACTTGATAAGAAAATTTTTTCGATTTATTTTAATTTTGAAGAAATTATAAAAGTTTAGTTACATAAAATTGATATTGAAATATAATATAATTATTTAATTGATTAGCATTAAATTATATAATAACTATCAAAATTTAACACTTTTATAAAAGATTAAATATCTTATATTAACTTGTACTATATATTTTTTCAGATTTTTTCTGACAAAATTATTTTAATTGCAAAGTTATTACAAAAATTTTTTATAATTGATTTTATATTTTAATTATAAAAATTTTTGCAATTAAAACAACTTTGTTAGAAAAAATCTAAAAAATATAAAAAAATATATATTAAACTATAACTTATAATCTTTATTTTAATATAAAAATAAAAAATATTTATTAATAAAATTGAAAACTTTATATAAAATAAAAATTTCAATTTTTATTATATTTTATTAATAAATTACATATATTATCAATTTGTGATCTTTGCTAATAAAAATATTTATAAAATAAGTAATGATGACTGTATTTACACAAAAGTATAAAATATAAAGATTTTTCTAAAATATGAGTTCCAATATCAAGTAACAAAGATTGTATTTATAATTTTTACAAGTAGAGCTCTTAATAAAAATTTAACATATTGCTACTGTTTCTAGTTCTTACGTATGAGAATATTTAGAAATAATTAACAGTGACTGTGTTCACGGCAGATTTTAATTAAGAGAGAGATATAAATGTCAAAAGTGAATGGTTGATGATAATAAATTAACAAGCCCTGTAAAAAAAAATAAAAAACAAAAATCAGGAAAAAATCTGGTTTTTTAGTTCTGGAAAATCACGGGTTTTGTT